AGTAGAGTCTCTCTCTCTCTCTCTCTCTCTCTCTCTCTCTCTCTCTCTCTATAAGGGTTAATTTTTGCTGATTTCTGATTTGTGGATTCTGATTTGCTCTAGTTTTCTCTATCCATGCAATCACTTTTCGTCTATCATTTACTTTGATAGTATATAGGATGATTTTGATAGATTGGGTTTGTTATTATTTGCTCTTGATCTGATGTCAACATGTGAGCTTTGTCGGAAACGAGCCCACAAAGTGGTTTCTTTTCAAACTATTTAACCTTTTTACTTTATTTGGAACATCGCATGCCCTAGATAGTGTAATTAGAAGCTACATTGAGGGAACTTAGTTTTATTGGTAAGGTAAAAAACAAAAAACTTCGTATGTATTGCTATAGATGCCAGAACCAATGTAGTAAACATTATTAGTTGTTAGACGTAGCAGTTTCAACTCTCCACTCAGTTTTTTTCTGAGAGGACACGTGGCAGATTTTGCTGCCACCAGAAAGTGCATAGCCACTTGGTTCCTTCTTTTTTCTACGTAGCAACAAACAGGAACAAAGAGAAACGAGACAGACGGATAATTCCAATAGATGACTTAAATAAGGGATTTTGTATTGCACTGTTTTCGTTGAAGAGCAGTTTTGTTGTTTTGTGTCATGAGTTGATGTAAAGACATTATGACAGCTTTTTGGTTAGTAACAACTCACACGGCAAAGAAAAATGCGTGTATGTGCCCTCTTTCAGAAAATTGGGGAAGAGTTGACACGAGCGCTTGTGGAAGAGACAGATCAGGACGCTAATGGAAGAGTAAAAAAGGGCTCATTGGAGTCATTCGACGACCTTGTCAAGGAGATGACGCTAAAACGCCGTGATATAAGGGCGTTTGCTTCCGTGACTAAGAAGATGGTATGTCTTTAAACATTTTGGTCATTACAGTAGTTTGGTGCATGGTCAAGTTATTTACCTTAAGATATGATCCAGTGGATTTTTCTTTCGAGCTGCTTCTGAGGATTCCATTGTCTTGTTCTTTACTGACCAACTAATATGCATTTTGGAATTGGGATTATTTGTGTTTAAAATTTAGCACAAAGAGATGTCGTTTTTAAGATCTATTGATGGTTACAAATGTTCAGTAAGCAATTAAAGCATACAGGCATAAATCTTCTTGTGTTGACAAGACAAAAGCTTCTTCCCTTTCATATCAAGCATCTGCTCCCCAGCTATTTATTAACTTGGCTTATATAATGGCTCAGGTCCTTCTATTATTCATGTGACACTTTGTTCTCTTTAATTTTCAGCTGTTGCAGATGGAACGCAAAGTCCAATCAGCTAAACATCATGAGTTAGTGTACTGGCATTTAGCCTCTCACGGTATCCCCAAAAGCCTCCATTGCCTTTCCCTGAGATTAACTGAAGAGTACTCTGTAAATGCAATGGCTCGAACGCGTTTGCCTCCGCCTGAATCTGTTTCTCGTCTGACTGATCCATTTTTTCACCATGTTGTCATCTTGACTGACAATGTTCTTGCTGCTTCCGTCGTCATATCTTCTACTGTAGAAAACGCTGTGAATCCTGATAAGTTTGTCTTTCATATTGTTACCGACAAGAAAACCTATACCCCTATGCACGCTTGGTTTGCTATCAACTCTGCTTCATCGCCAGTTGTTGAAGTGAAGGGACTTCATCAGTATGATTGGCCTCAAGAAGTGAATTTCAGAGTTAGAGAGATGCTGGACATTCACCGCATGATTTGGAGACGTCATTATCAAAATTTGAAAGATTCTGATTTTAGTTTCGTAGAGGGTTCTCATGAGCAGTCCTTGGAAGCTCTAAATCCGAGCAGCCTCGCCCTTTTGAATCATCTTCGCATCTACATTCCCAAGGTAAAGTATTTTCCCACTCATCTCTTCTCTGAGCTATATATCATTTTGAAGCCTCTTTTGTTTGGACCGCGCAGCTTTTTCCAGATCTCAACAAGATAGTCTTGTTGGATGATGATGTAGTAGTACAACGCGACATTTCGTCTTTGTGGGAAATGGATCTCAACGGTAAAGTAGTCGGTGCAGTTGTTGACTCGTGGTGCGGAAACAACTGTTGCCCGGGAAGAACTTACAAAGACTACTTCAACTTCTCACATCCTCTGATTTCATCAAACTTACTTCAAGACGACTGCACTTGGCTTTCTGGTATGAATGTCTTTGATCTAAAAGCCTGGAGACAAACCAATATCACAGAAGCTTACTCCACGTGGTTAAGAATCGTAAGTGTACAAATAGAACGATCTCATTTCTTCATCATATTATCCTCACTGCAACTAGTTACACAAATCTGATTTAATTTTACTGCAGAGTGTTAGCTCCGGGCTACAATTATGGCAACCAGGAGCCTTACCACCGACACTACTTGCTTTCAAAGGACTCACACAGACTCTTGACCCATCATGGCATGTCGCTGGACTAGGATCTCGATCCGTAAAATCCCCTGAAGAGATTCTGAAGTCTGCTGCGGTTTTACATTTCAGCGGTCCAGCAAAGCCGTGGCTAGAGATCAGTAACCCTGAGGTACGATCTCTTTGGTATAGATACGTAAATTCCTCCGACATCTTTGTTAGGAAATGCAAAATTATGAACTGAGAAGAAAAGAAAACAAAAACAGAGTAGAAACAAAATAAAAGAAAGAGAAAACTGAGTGATAAAGCCATTAGTACTCGCGGCTGTACGTATGAGAGAACGGAGGGAAGAAGGTTTAAGCCTTCAGCCTCTGCTCATATTTCTCTCATGTCCATATACTAAACATTAATTAATTTTAGAGGGAAGGACATTTTATTAGACTTTAAAGCATATCTAGCTTTTTTTTCTTCATTATCTCTCAACTAGTATAGTAAAGATGTATTTTTGTTTAATTATAGCTACACATATTGTAATAATTCATCACATAATAGATCTTTGTAATTTGTATTGTAACCCTATGGACGGACATGTTGTATCATTCCATCAATGTTTATAATATGACTAGTTTCTATTTGTGGGTGTCTGTTTATCTGATCGAAGCTGTTTCTATATGTAAATGTACTTTGTAACTCTATTAATGATAAGCTTAGGCGTCTAGCTAGTCTCTTTATGAACCAATTTTGCAGTCAATTATATGAGATTAATTTACGACAACTATACACCGTTCGGTGCATGCAGATTCATGAATTTTGGTTGGGGTATTTATGCCAATCTTAGTTGTGATGTTTTGATTTCGAACAACTAGCTAGGGTTATATATATATGCCGTAACGGGTTTTGGAACATTGGGTTTAAATATTGATGTAATTAGACAATGGAAACATTAAGAGTTTAATTTGTTATTCCCTTATTATTATTATGATCAAAACCTAAACTATGAATAAGTAGAAGTCGCATTATAGATGTAATGAACTCCCTAGTCTCTCTCAAACGTTTAGATGGGGAAGAAACAAGTGTTTATCATGTTCTTGGTTAAACAAGCTGAAGAGGAGGTTGGTCTTGGGCGGAGAATTGCTGATTCGGTTCAAGAAGGTTCACCGGAATATAGTTCCGATTATAGTGATGCGACTGATCGTGATGAGTAGACACACCGGATTCGTAAACAGTCGTCCCTTGTATCACACTCGATTCCTGCTGACCCGGATTCAATCTGGCGCCTTCGGCTATCTGTTTAACCCCAAAATTCAAAAAGTTTACTTGTGATACACGTGATCTTAATTAATTAGTTACACAATATATAGAAACAGAGATTCTCGGAACAGAATGTGGCTAACCTTAGCTCGCAGGTACATGTTATCATGTTGCAAGTCCATTTCCTACATGATTAATTAATTGTAGAAAAACTCAACAAATCCCCCAAATAGACTGACAAAAATATCAAATTACATGGAAAGGAAGAAACGTTTGTAGTTGTAACTTACCCTCTTCTGCATGTACTCTATCTCTGCCACTAACATCTCGTTCTGCGAAAATTCACAAAAGAGTGAGAAAACAGTTTCAAAATAAGAGAGCAGATCGAGAGAGAGGTACACACGACGTAGGTTTTACCTTTTTGGATCGGACGCGGCTTATTCCTTTTTCAAGACGTCCTTCGAGGTTTTTGAGTTCCTTGAAGTTCAAAGAACCAAGTGATTCCCCAACAATATGCCTTCAATTTTATAAACATGAACATTGATGAACAAATTATACACCTCTAAAAGAAAATTACAAAGGAACTTTTGAAACGAACCAAAGCATTCTTATAGTAAACCAAACTTAAAATAGTCATTTTTCCTATCTTTGTACCTTAACTTGATTATTTCTGAAGCCAACCCAAAATTTATATGAACTGAAACGCAACTAATTAACAAATAACTTTTAAAAAAGGAAAATTGATTCCAATTTGAATTTCTTCTTGAACGATTTGAAAGCTCATTAGTATAAGAGAGAGACGTTCAAGAAACAAGAAATTAAACATATTATCTGAAAGTGAAACCTCACCCCTCATGCATGAAAAGTTAATCAGGTACCTGTTTAAATTCTGAATGTCGCGGATCTGTCTCCGAAGCTTAGAAGCTTCTTGCTGATAATACTTCAGAATGCCACCATTTGTATACAAAAATATCAAACCGTCAAAGCTGTTTCAATATATTGCATTTCAAGAACCCTTTCATTTTGTGGGTAATGTTTTGATTTGTATTTTTTTCTATTTTTCTCAAGAATACTATTATACTTGATCGTAATGAAAACAAGAAAATAGAAAAACAAAGAGAATAAAAACTACAGTACCTGAGTATTAGCTTCGGTTACGGAGGGAGGGTTGACGGCATCAGAACAAGCTTTCTTGTACCTTTCAATTGTACCCCTCACACTAAAAAGTTTCATGATGATAAACCATTATTTTTTTAATTAAAATAATAACAAATATAAACTTTGACTATATTGGTTAATATAGGAATTAATTAAAGAGACTAAATTATTTTACACTATAGTCTTGCAAGTAAGTTTTTCTGGTCAAAAACCTTTAAATCGACGAGAAAAGGAATGTGATGGCTTTGGAGTTTGGACCAGTTTCTGACTTAAGTACGACGAGAAAAAACTCAATTCATACACATAGCCCAAGGTAACTTACACATGACTAAACAATACAATTAACGAAAGTAAGGATTATTTAGGTAGACTATACTTATTATGGTTTTAAACGTAAAAAAAAAGAAGAAGAAGTAATTACTAATTAGGGTTTGAAGAGGTATATAGAACAAGTTTCATGCATGTTATATGATTCATTGTTATCAGAATATGTAATGAAGATGAGTAATCGTTTTTTTGTTCTGATAAGAAAAACAAATAAATGGAGCACAGAAATGCCAGAGATTCCTATTGGCTAGTACCCTTTTAATTTCCGACACTTCTCAGAGTTCCCCCTCTCTTTATATGAATACCCAATGCAACACACTCACACACATATGTATATATCCTAAAAGGGCATATATATATATATATTTGAGTTAGTTAGCAAAAAATATATATATTTGAATTTGCTTTATTTTACATTTGATGACTAATTCCAATGTTAGAGAAAGTCATCATCTGTGTGTGTTTTTATTGTTCGAACTTTGAAGGACTTAAATTTTAACTATATGTCATCATATTTAGAATGGAAACCTAAAACTGCATATACATTATTACACCTAATATAATGTGTCCCTCAACTTATAAACTGCTAATTACATCACAAATTGTACATAAAAATGACGATAGAAATCCAAATGTACACCCGGAGATAGGATTGTCACTAATTTTTATTTACATTTTTGTTGGTGTAAATTAAATTAAATGACTGAAGGGATCCCTATATAGCTAGCTAGTGACAACTCATATCATATATGAGCCATTAGGTTTTGTCCCAAGTTTTGCTAGATAGAGAGGGTTACATAAGTCTTTGATTATATATTTCCTACATTACTCGTGTCGCAAACAAACCCTACTTATAAGATTTGATATGGGTCGTCAAAATTGTAATGTATTTGATAGAAGCTGACATATATGCTGCAGGTTCTATTAGATTTGCAGGAAAAAAAAAAAGAGAAAAAAAAGAGAGAGTTAAACTAAGGAAAAGGCTAATCAAAAGTTGAGAAGACAAGACAGCTTTTTCTTCTTCTTCTTCTTCGTTGTATCAGCATATGTACATACGTACAAAGCACACACATATAGAGATTTATAAGAGAGAGAGAGAGAGAATGATAACTCTACCTAGGGAGATATTAATTATTATTATTATTTTAAAGAAGTAAATAAAAAATTGTATTTGAACCAAAACCCTAATCTTGGCTCTCTCACCAGTCTCCACTTCCACATCATTTATATATAACTGAGATTATTTTAGTAAATCGAGAAGTTAAAAGAAAGATCAAGAAGCTTGTACCTGTTGTTGGCGTATTCGTAGAGACGGCCACGGGTAGAAAAGATAACGAGGGCAACCTCGGCATCACACAAGACAGAGAGCTCATAAGCTTTCTTGAGAAGACCATTGCGTCGTTTGCAGAAAGTTACTTGACGATTTGTTGTGTTCTCTATCCTCTTTATCTCGATCTTCCCTCTCCCCACTATCTTCTTACTACTATCTGCTTCGTGGCTACTTCCTCCTTCCTCCATTGATCCTATCACATCACCGAAAGAATCAAAACACCTCACCTCTATATATACATATATATAGCTAGGTGATGATCATGAGAGAGGAAGAGAGGATCTGCAGACTCTTGATGATAATTAAATATTATTTGTAGATCAAGAATCAGAGATTGAATGGAGAGAGAAAGAAACTGTGATTTTTAGGGTTAATCTATGTACTACAAACATAAACCTTACCTGAACTTTCAAGATTATGATAGATCAGCCAAAAAAATAAAGGAGACGGTGGGTGATGAGAAAACTATATTCCTCAAGAGATATATACTTACTATAATATATTATTATTATATAACTCAGTACCACTTAACTGCTGCTTCTGCTTTTCTAATTATGTTGGTTCTTGAAAAATATCTCTCTCTATCTTTCTTTTTGTAATTTCTGTTTTGAGGTTTATGAGTTTCATTTGAAAAGGAATATTTTTCTGTGAAGGTATTTAAGACCCTACTTGCTGAAAACGGAAGGTGAGTAGATTTTTACTTTGAGCTGAAATATATTTATACACACATAGGAAAAAGAAGAAAAAAAAAAAGACAAGGCCAATTAATATCTTACAATTGTCCAAAATGCACATACTCAACAAAGCTAGAAACTTACACTTTCTTTTATATAGATTCTCTCTATACATGCATATAATTAATAGGATATGGCCATATGGGTATCTCTACAAGTGAGCTGAATGGAATTAAACTGAAATTGAAGGGGAAAATAAGATTGTATAATTGATAAACAATAACAAAAAGAAAGAGAGAGGAGTAGGAGTAGGAGTAGGTGGAGGACATTGAAGGAGGACCATCCAATTTTTTTTCTTTCATGGGAAGGGGAAAAAGGAGAGGGATGGGCTCTGTTTCTCTTCAGAACCATCTTTTGGAAACTCCTTTTTTTTGGTAATCCCTTTATCTCTTCCCTCTTTTACCCCTTCTGCCTTACCCCCCCCCCCCCATTAGATGCTCCTAGACTCCCATTAGATACCCCCATCTAGTGTTTCTATTGATAACAATCAGATTCAAGTTTCTAGAATGGGGTATTTGAAATCAAGCTAAGCCATACCAAAACCGAGTCTAATCGAAGCCACATTGTAGATATAAACAATGTGATCAGTTGTACAATTCGAGTAATATGTATGATATCATGTTTAGCGCAAGATGTTCTTGTTAAGTAAACTTTATATATACAATATTGTTTAGTCGAGAAGAGAAGAACCCTAAAATAACATACAATTAATCAAGTTTTACTTTGTGTTGCTTTCACAAATCCAAATACCGCAACTCTAGAAGATATGTAACATCTTTGGAGGGATCAGGACGTTTTCAAGGCACTACACAAAAAATGCCCCAATGGATTGGGAATCTCATGCATAGAGTGATCATAAATTGTAAAATATTAAATAAAAGAAAGAAATTTAAAACTATTCATGAAAAAGGGGATACCAAGATGTACGCATAGAGACGTAGGTGCGGTATAATATTGGGGAGATATGATCATGACAGGGACTTGCATGTGAAACTTGCCTCAACTTCTCCTAGTACCTGAATCCTTTATGGGAAAATAGAGTTATTATACCAACTTTGTTTATTGTGCTTTTCATCCCTCATCTTCTTTATTCTTTTTGATTTGAGCCCCTCATAGTATTTACGTCCCACCAAAAGAAACTACACACACCAATGAAATCATATTAGTCTTTTCTTTTTTGCCGTGGGTCCTTGATCGAGTGAGCGACAACAACAACTTTGATAAGACATATATTAGTTTCAATTCCCAGTATCGTCGTCTATCTAGGCATCATCGCTCCTGGTTCAAAAATTTTGAACAAAACCGTCAAATTTCTATGATTTTTGCATACGATAAACTTAGTCTCACATATATATTAACCTATTATTTCGGAGATTATTATCTTCTTTTTAGGTTAATTTTAAGAGATTAATTTCAGGAGGAGGAGAAGTCATATGTGAATACGCTATTTTTGACGCTTAAAAAGAATATTAAACCAAAGAATTTGACAAAGATATATAATTACTATGTTTATGGGTGGTTAATCTTATCATCGCACAAATGAGAGAGACTAATCTACTTGAACACGTATCTAATCTTCCGTGTATATCTTGGTTATGAGCTAATAATCCCATTTATTGAGATTATATATTATGCAAGGTTTTGCGTATAAACACTTGTTTCTTAGTCAATAAGTTCTTATAGTGACATGCATGCTAAAGCTAAAACGTGTGAATTAGAATTGCACTGAAAGCAAACTTTTCTCAATTGAACGGGTGCATTAGAATTGCACTGGAAGCAAACTTTTGTTTATTAAAACTTAATATATTAATACTTTTGGTTGGACTAGCTAAATGATACTGAAATCCATCTTTTTAAAAGTCCAGTTTGAGAAGAGTGATGGCAACTTATCATGTTATGTTTGCATTTGTTCATTTCTGGCCTTGTCAACAAAACATAGTGCTTTTCTCCGTGGTAGATGATGTCACGTTGCGGCATATATATGAATACTCAAACCTTATTTTGGTGAAATTTGGGGAGATCAAAATAAAATAAGAGAAAAGAAATGATGAGACGACAACTTATATCGAGGGAACAAGAAATTAAGGAATCAAACAACTAGTGTGACTGACTAATCATACGTATAGTCATAAATCATCCACGACCCATTTCCACAGTCCACATTAACTACTTGTTTACAAATAGAACTCTCTTTGTTCCATACCTCCTTGCCTTCCCCTTTGTACTACTTGTGTCAAAATTTATCTTAAATTGTGCCAAGTCCTTTCAATCTTTTGGAATATGACTCGTTTTTAATTTGCTTCATCTTTGTGGGAACAAGATTATGGTTACCTCCACCGGCTACTGTCTCTAGTCTAGTTTCTATTAGATGCAAGTTTACAATCATTTATCTTTATGTGGCTTGATGCTGATTTTTTATAATACAACTGCACAAGGATTAACATGGAAGCTTTGCAGATGTTGAAACTTGCAAAAGCAATAGATATTTTATATGGATCTCCGAGAAGCAAGACTCATTTAACTGTATACATTGATGTAACATCATAAGTTTCATCTACCTAAACAAGGCAATCATGCACAACAACAATTCATTCCCAAGTAAGACATTATCACTGAATAATTCATAAAACACACAAGGGATGGCTTAAACAATTATTTACCTCTTACACTTTTAGAATTGTGATTTCCTAATTTGTTGGCCTGCAAATTGTGATTTCCTAATTTACCAAAACATCTGTTTTTTTGAAACAGAGAGAGTACCTTTTTATCCGTCGAGGTGGTCTTCTTCTTCTTTTCTTGACGTTACAAGTTAACAAAAGAATTTTTTAAATTGTGCAATTTAAAATCTTAAACTAATTCAGATACTACTAATTATACTATAAAAAGCTCGAATTAGCTTAGAGATCTCATTACCACACGCATATAATTGTAATACACACTATGTTTCATCCAGGTTAAACAAAAACAGCCATTATACCATATAAATTAATACAAAGAGCTACAACCAAAAAAAAAAAAAAAAAAAAAAAAAAAAAGAATTTTGCATTGTTTAACTCCCTTTATAAGGCAAACATACCAAAGCTCTTGAATTGAAGGAGTCTCATCTGGTGAATGAGCTTGATGAACGGTTACTACTGGGATTCACATAATCTCGTTTCTTAAACAATCTGAACCGTGGTATGCATCTCCCTACCATCACCTGTTGTTCGTTATCACCATTTTTAACCGTGTTTAGTACATTAAATTAGAGCGTGTTTCATAGATAAAGAGAGAGGGACTGCGTAACAACCTTCCAGCTTGTTTTGCGTGCAATTCGATCACTTATCAACTCCAAAGTAGAGATGATTTCTCTAAACGTTGGTCTTTTTGATGCGTCTTTGTCCCAACAATCCTGGATAAGCCTGCCCAACAGAGAGATCCTAAGACTTTCAATAGTGGAGCCATGTATGGATGTTGTTTTAACAACAGGATTACTTATTCCAAAAACTTACTCTCTCAAACCGAACGGATATAATTTTGCTGGAGCATTGAAGGGTGGACGTTCATCTTCAATATATGCTTTAGGAACTTCGCTTTCTTCTATCTCGTGAAATGGTACACAACCTTCTATCATCTGTTAAAGTTTGTTAACACTCTGAACATCATACTCTTGATATTAATGGTGTAACACACAGAACTTTAATTAAGAAGCCTCATAGCTCTCTTGGTTGCTTTACCTCTTGTAATATCAAAGCGAAAGAAAAAATATCTACTTTTGTATCATACTCTTCATTCCTATAAACTTCTGGAGCCATGTATCGCCCTGGTTAGCCAGAACAACAATCAAGAGTTACATCAGCATAAACCCATCCGAAACAACCATTAGATTGGTGTTAATCTAGCTTATGACAAGTGACAACAAAAGCTAGCTGAGGCTATCAACATACACAACTCGATAGGGCAATTTTTTTTATTTTATATTATGATATTATCAGGTAAGGGAGCTTACAAGAACTGTCCAATGATGTAACAGGTCTGTCCTTTTTAACTGTCTTCTTCACCACCAGCAATTTGCTGACTCCAAAGTCTGCAACTTTCAGATGCCCCGAATCATCCCGCAGTATGTTTCTGTTCTCTTACTCGAACAAATGAGAACCTTTTGGATTTTTTTTCCGATATATGAAAATAGAGTACAATAGAAAAAAATGGTAACAAAACAAATGATACTGAGACAGCCAAGAGGAAAACATACGGAGGTTCTAGGTCGCAATGGATTATTGCTTCAGGTTTATGCTCGTGCAAATAATTCATTCCCCTGCAAATATATGAAGGGATACCATAGAGATAATCAGACGCCACAACATCAGAATGCAGGTTTAATTGCAACCAGTCATGCATTAATATGAACCTGCATGATTATGAAGACAGTATAGAAGTAAAGAATATAGCCACTTACCTAGCAATTTCAAGTGCGAACTTCACTGCGTGCGCTGGCACCAGAGGTCCTTTCCTGTCTAAATATTGTCGAAGATCTCCCTACAAATAAACATAATACTTAGAAGCAGAGCTTTATGCAGTAAAATATGAAAGTGAGCAGTTTGCAGAGGCAAAGATCAAGAAATCTCCAACAACAATTAAACATAAAAGCCATTATTCATGTCATATCTAACCAACTGCCGAGATAACCACAGCACTAGCTAAAAATGTTGTCATTTTATTGTGTAAGCTTCTGGAGATATCCTATAACCAAGTATTTACAGAATGTTTATAGGATTTCAACTGCTAGTGTACATGA